AATGGGGAGTTGACATAGGATCCTATCACTAAAACTTTCACATGCTCAGAGGAGCTGCGGATAGATCTTTGTAAGGTAATATTTGAGATTCATTAGTCTTCTACTACCCAAAATAGTAAACAAGTTAAAATTTTTTCAAGTACAAACAATTAACAATTTTCATTTTTTACTAGAGAAACCGTGAATTGAGAACTTTGTTCACACACGGATGGAAGCTAAATGAGATGTATTTGGTCGCCGTTTTCCCTAGTAGAATTGGGGGCTTCTGGTTCAAGTGCATATCACCCTACCGTGGGACAAGAGACAGTGAATTGTATGCCCTCATAAGATGTTGCTACTGGGGATGAATAACCACAACCTCACCTAAATGCCCCCTACAAAAATAATGATGTGATGAGGTCTGTAATGAGCTTGGCAACCGCGTTGAACATTTTCGACGGCGAAATGTGACCAATATCGCCTCATCCTCACATGTGATTTGAAAGAAACAGTCAAGGTCTAGGAAAGCCATTGACAGTTCCTGTGAGGAGCTAGTCGAAATGGTTAGAGACATGCGAGGTGATTTAAGAGACTATATTTATTCAAGCAAAGATAGGCAGTCGAATAACAACACTGTCAATTACCCAAATGAAGCTGAAATCATCTTAACTTCACTTGAGGAAATGAGAATTGACGCTCATATGCAAGCTCTTGCTTTCGACAAAATAATGGCTTCTACTGCTTGGCGACCAGTTTAGGGCAGAGTTGGGGATGTCATGAGGTAGGCCTTCTTGAATGACTTTGTTATAGTGCCACAAACGCCTTTTGTGTATCAGCCACCTAATCCTTACAACTAGGTGCCAAAATCCTACAACTAGCCAGCAAACCAATTCAACTAGCCACCAAACTCCTTCAGCCAACCACCGAAGTGTCACGCCCCCAAACAGGGGTTAGTGACATGGAGGCTTGTTTAGAAATTAAACTTGATTAAGAGGGTGATTAAACCGTTAACATTTCAAAATTTAATTTCAAATCCCAAACACTTGGGTATTTCCAAACGAGCCCCGCCATTTTAACGAAATAGAGTTTTAAGAAAAAGTGAGGCGAACTTTACAAAATACAATCACTATTAAGATCAACATCAAAAGTCAGCATCCGGCGTCCACAGGGTTACAATTTGTGCATATATAATTAAATACATAAAAGTAAATAACTGACAACCACCACAGTCTAGTTATGTTTAAGGTTTTACAATCCATAATTAATACATGCCTTAATGAGTCTGAGTAAGATGGAAATGCTTCACTACTTCCTTTCTTCTAGAACTGAATTCCTCACCTATTCTGCACTACTTCTAGTGTCGCCTGGGTGGGGTTAAATACATTTAAAACATAGAAAAATGAGTGAAAGGCCCAGTAGGATAAGATTTATAAAACTGAATAAATAAGTAAGTGAATAAAATGAAATAGTCAGGCCTGAAATAATCAATCGGAATAAAACAACCTTTTTCTGAAAGGTAAATAAACTGAAATTCTAGATTACAGGCAACCAACAAGTAATTTAAGTAATTCAATTACTTATGACCAAGGCAAGGCCTTAACACCACCGTAGTGGCCCGTCTGGGTTTCAGGTTCTGCCCCCAAGGATACAATCTCCATATCCTATCTAGGCCATCAGCGGGCTTACCAGTTCGCAAGGTATCTTTTCTTAAGAAAATGTTCATTAAAACTTGAAATCAGTCCATTATTAGATCAATAGCGAAAATCAAGCTATTGTCTTGAAAATATTTTTCGGTATCAACATGTTCTTATTGTTTGAAAACATTACTTGGCCAAAACACTTTAAAACAGGCTAACAAGGATATGAGAAGAATATCATACCTCTTGGATGTCAAACCTGTGGCTAACTTCTCGTCACCCTAACATCTGCTTTCCTTAGAGCTTTAATACTTGATATTCTCCACTAGCTTTATCACAAAAGTAATGTCTTAGGATATATTTCTCATTCCTAAAATGAATTAAGCTTAATCATATTTAATTGTTTCCTATTTGTGTGCCTTGACTTAAATCCAAGTTTCACAAACGATTTTATAATTCAGTTTGGGGGTTCTTTAAAAATTGAAATCCAATTCATGGGTTTGGTTTCCTATTTAATTTTAGCTTAAAAACAAGTTTCTAAAGAAATTTCTGTAGCATGTCGGCATAAATAGAAAAAATGTCAAACCTCAAGTTCAATTTCAAAATAAATTCTCCAGAAATCATCAAAACTAGTTTCCAGTCAACTATCAACAAGTTCAATAACTGAAAACCCCCAAATTTAATTCAATTCTAACAACAATTGTTCAAATTCAAACCCTAACTTAAAATTATTTAGATCTAACTAAAATTTCAAATTCTCAAATCAATAACTCAAATTCAAGTATGGGTTTTCAAGAAATCTTCACCTCAAAGTGATTGAAGCTCGTTTTTCTCCATTTCTCTCGTTTTTGTTTTGTTTTTTTTGTGGGTCTCAGCCAAACAGCCGAGTGAGAGAGAGAGAGAGAGAGAGAGAGAGAGAGAGAGAAATGGCCAGAGAGAGAGAGCCCAGAGAGAGAGAGATCCCGGAGAAGAAGTGGCCGACGATGGAAGAAAAAGGGAGAGAAAGAGAGAGAGATGGCTGCCGTGAGAGAAACCAGAGGAGAGAAAGAGAGAAAAGAAAAGAAAGAAAGGAAGAGAGAGAGAGAGGAAAGCTATGGGAGGGAAAAGAAGGAAAGGAAAAAGAAGAAAAGAAAAAAAAAAGAAAAAGGAAAAAAGAAAAGAAAGGGGGAAAAAAAGGAAAAATGGAAAAAGGAAAATGCATTAAAGTTTAAGTGTATTTTTTTAAAAACTTTTGGGGTGAAATCATAAATATTAAAAATAATTTAAAGTTCCTTGATTAATTGGGAAAATCAAATTAGGCACACTAATAACTCACAATTTAGCATAATTAAACATGTTTAATTCTAAAGGGTGTTATAGCTCTACCCCCCCTTAAGAAATTTCGTCCTCAAAATTAGAACTTACCTCAGGATATGAATAGATGTGGACACCGTTCATGCATTGTCACCTCCAGTTCCCACATTGCTTCCTCAACACCTTCAATAGCAGAATCTCATGACGGCGTAAACTTTTCATTTTCTGATCGAGAATCTGAACTAATTCTTCCTCGTAAGTCATGTCATACTGAATTGGTACGTTGTGCCATTGCACAATGGTTTTTGGGTCGGGTTGACACTTGCAAAGCATGGAAACGTGAAATACATCGTGCACATGAGACAACTCCAAAGGTAAAGCGAGACGATACGCGGCGATACTGACTCGTTGCACGATCTGAAACGGTCCAATATACCTTTTCAAGAGTTTCCCTTTCACATCGAAATGAGTGACCCCTTTGCATAGAGAAACCCTTAGCAAGATAAAGTCACCTTCTTGAAACTCTAAAGGTCCACGCCTCCTATCAGCATAACTTTTTTGATGACTCTGAGCTATTAGCAATCGTTCTCGAATAACAATTATCTTCTCGTTGTTTTCTTGGATATCATCTGGTCCAAAAGTGACTCGATCCTTTGGCTGGAGCCAACAAATTGGCGATCTGTAAGGTCTGCCATATAATGCCTCGAATGGTGCCATTCCAATGCTAGTCTGATAACTGTTGTTGTAGGCGAATTCGACTAGATGGAGATACTTCTTCCAGTTTCCACCAAAATCTAAAATGCAAGCACAAAGCATATCCTCCAGAATCTGAATAACTCTTTTAGACTGTCTGTCGGTCTGAGGATAAAATGCGGTGCTAAAATTCAATTCGGTTCCAATGGCTTCTTGGAAACTTCTCCAATACTTTGCACTGAAACGAGTGTCATGATCTGAGGTGATTGACAACGGAACTCCGTGAAGTCTAACAATGTGTTTCAGATACAACTCTGCTAGAACTTTCCTAGAATACATCGCACAAAATGGAATGAAGTGCGTGGACTTCGTCAACCTATCCACAATGACCTAGATTGTATCATGTCGTTGTTCAGTCCTCGGTAATCCCATTAGAAAATCCATCGTAATATGTTCCTACTTCCATCCAGGAATAGGAAGAGATTGCAGTTCTCCAATAGGTTTCTGATGTTCAGCTTTGACTCGAAGACATGTCACACATTTTGACAGATATTGGCGAACATCCTTCTTCATATCCCTTCACCAATATTGCCTTTTGAGGTCCTAATACATCTTGACCCTCCCAAGATGAATAGCAAACCTCGATTTGTGAGCCTCACGAAGGACTGTCTTCTTTATCTCATCCACCTGAGGAACAGCGTGCCGATTTTTAAAGTAGAGCATTCTATCTTCCTGGATATTCTAACCATCCAGTTGTTCTCCATTCTGAACTCGAGTCCAAACTCCTTGAAGATGTGGATCGTACCATTAGTTCTGCTTGACCTATTGTATAAGAGTTGATGCAGAAACCAAGTTGTACACCATAGCCTGTTTATAATCCTCACAATACTAAAGATCATAATCACCTACAATTTCATTCTGTTTCCAATTGTCCAAAGCCAAAGATGCTAGGATTCCTAAAATATTTTTACTGATAGCGTCTGCTACCATATTGGCTTTTCTAGGATGATACTGTAAAGTGAAGTCATAATCTTCCATGCACTCCATCCATCTTCTCTGTCTCAGATTTAAGTCTTTCTGAGTGAACAGATACTTCAGACTCTTATGATCGGAGAAGATCTGAAATTTTGCTCCATAGAGATAACATCTCCATATTTTAAGAGTAAAAATCACAACAACTAACTCCAAATCACGAGTTGGATAATTCTCCTTGTGAGGCTTCAGTTTGCGAGATGCATAAGCTACAACACGTCCTCCTTGCATCAGAACACACCCAAGTCCTTGTCTTGATGCGTCAAAATACACCTCATACGGCTCCTCGGTATTTGGTATAGTTAGAACTAGTGCGCTCATCAATCTGGTCTTTAGTTCTTGGAAAGCATGGTCATAGTCAACATCTCATTCAAACTTGACTTCCTTCTTCATCAATCGAGTCATTGGAGCAGCAATGCTCGAGAAGTTCTTTACAAATCGCTGGTAATACCTCGCAAGTCCTAGGAAGCTTCGAATTTCAGCTACATTCTTTGGTCGTTTCCATTGCAGCACCGTTGCAATCTTTGAAGGATCCACTGAGATTCCTTGTCCAGATATGACATATCCAAGGAACCTGACTTCTGTTAACCAGAAGTCACACTTCTCTTTCTTCGCGTAAAGCTGATGTTCACGAAGAGTCTGGAGAATGATCCTTGAGTGTTGTTCATGGTCTTCCTGGGTCTGAGTAAATTAGGCAGTATGCCGGCATAAATAGGAAAAATGCCAAACCTGCAATTCAAGTTCAATTGTAAAATAAATTCTTCAAAAATCATCAAAATCAGTTTTCAATCAATTCAACAAGTTCAATAACTGAAAACCCCCAAATTTAATTCAATTCTAACAAAAATTGTTCAAATCTAAACCCTAACTCAAAATTATTCAGATCTAACCAAAAATTCACATACTCAAATCAATAACTCAAATTCAAGTATGGGTTTTCAAGAAATCTCTACCTTAAAGTGATTGAAGCTCATTTCTCTCCATTTCTCTTATTTTTGTTTTGTTTTTTTCTGTGGGTCTCGGCCAAATAGCCGAATGAGAGAGAGAGGGAGAGAGAGAGAGAGAGAGAGAGAAAGAGAGAGAGAGAGATGGCCGGAGATAGAGAGCCCGAAGAGAGAAGGCCGGCTGGAGAGAGAGAGCCCGGAGAAGAAGTGGCCGGCGGTGGAAGAAAAAGAGAGAGAAAGAGAGAGAGAGATGGCTGCCGTGAGAGAAACCAGAGGAGAGAGAGAGAAAAGAAAAGAGAGAGAGAGAGAGAGAGAGAGAGAGAGAGAGAGAGAGAGAGATGGCCGGAGATAGAGAGCCCGGAGAGAGAAGGCCGGCTGGAGAGAGAGAGCCCAGAGAAGAAGTGGCCGGCGGTGGAAGAAAAAGAGAGAGAAAGAGAGAGAGAGATGGCTGCCGTGAGAGAAACCAGAGGAGAGAGAGAGAAAAGAAAAGAAAGAGAGAGAGAGAGAGAGAGAGAGAGAGAGAGAGAGAGAGAGGAAAGCTATGGGAGGGAAAAGGAGGAAAGGAAAAAGAAGAAAAGAAAAAAAAGAAAAAGGAAAAAAGAAAAGAAAAGAAAAGGGAAAAAAAGGAAAAAGGGAAAAATGGAAAAAGGAAAATGCATTAAAATTTAAGTGTATTTTTCGAAACTTTTTGGGTGAAATCATAAATATTTTAAATAATTTAAAGTTCCTTGATTAATTATAAAAATCAAATTAGGCACACTAATAACTCACAATTTAGCATAATTAAACACGTTTAATTCTAAAGGGCGTTACACAAAGGCTTTCAGCCAGCCACTGAACCCCTACAACTAGTCTCCAAATCCATAGAACTAGCCACCAAACCACTACAACCAGCCGCCTACTCCTTAAATGGCCAATCTTACATTTATCTTGCAGTTTTTCGTTTTCTTAAATGGTCAATTTTCCCCTGGACCACAGATTAGTGTTGTATATTATGATTTGAGTCTATGACTTTTTTGGGTCTCTATCTAATTTAAGTTTTTGTCTATTGGTATATGCTATGTAGTATTATAGTGGATGGTTTGGGTGGACCACGGTTTGCTGTGCAATGAAATATTTGAGACCTTGTTTGCATTTTTTCATTTGAATAGAAGTTCTCTTTTCACAACATTGATTCTCTACACTTAGGTTTATCTTGCATTCTTTACACAAATGCCAGCCAATCATGTATTAATATTCTTGTACATGTTTCTCTCTAGGTTTCCATATAAAGCAACAGGATGCAGGTAGAAGGATCATCAAATGAAACTGACGAGCGGGACACGACAACATCCCACAGATGAAGAAGGCGATATCTTGTTGCCATAGGTGCTGCCACAGCTGCAACCGCTTATATCGGTACAAACTGGGTAAGAAGGCCGATGCATATATCTTCTTTAAGGGGCATAGACAAGGTAAATGATTTATTAGCAAACACTAAAGAGACTGCAATATTTAATAAAGTGCGGATGAGACCACGTGCATTTATGATTCTTTGTGAAATACTAACTGAGAGACATTTGTTACAACCCTCAAACAACATGAACATCCATGAACAATTATTTGTGTTCTTAACAATCGTTTCGCAAAGTCAAACTAATCATGAATCACAAGATGTTTGGTAACATTCTAGGGAAACCATATCACAGCGTTTCAGTGAGGTGTTAGACGCGATGATTTCATTAAACCCCCAAATTTTGACAAAGTGCAAGAATTTTTAGTGCCAATTGTCATAAATATGGCACATGGTTTAATGTAAGTCGTGTTGCTCTTTTATTTTTCATTTTTTAACCTTCTTTCTATTTACTAAGTATTAATAGGACAATACTTCTATTTGTATGATACTTATCTAAAATTTTTTTACATGCTTGTGCAAAACTGTGTGGGTGCAATTGATGGGACTTATGTACCGTGTACACCGATTGGTGTTGACAATCTGATAGCTTAGCAAAATAGGAAGGGTGTCAACTCTTAGAACATAATGGCAGCCTACTCTTTTGATATGAAGTTCACCTACATATTATCTGGTTGGGAAGGATCAACACATGATGCACGAGTGCTGTCAGAAGCGGTCGAAATGCCTAGGTTTAAGTTCCCACAACCCTTCTAGGTTAGACTTCAGATTGTCTACCTTCTTATGGCTATTAATTGTTATGGATTGTTTTTTAAATTTGAAGCCTGATTTGTGTATATTGTGTTGGGAATGGTATCTTAAAAGGATGAGATGTGATAAATAATTTTTATTATTTATTTAATAAAAAGTTTATTTATTATTTTATGTGCATATATTTACAAATATGTTATGAATATCAATGAAAATTTAATGATTATTTATGTGACCTTAAACATTGTATATAAGTGTTATATACGAGGGGACTATATTTAAGGATAATAATCAAAATGATGTTCATAATGAATTTAATTAAAGTTTAGAATCTTTAATTAAAAAATTATTAATGTATGTCATTCCCATTTAGAATGGAACGGTGTTATCGGCACTGTTAATATGACGAGATATTGAATGAGTGTATTTCGCATGATGAGATTATGTGGAACAAGGATGCAGACATAATATGAATTTCTAATAATTTCCGTTAAGTATAAAAATTCTAATTGCGTCTACCGATGGCCATATATAGAATGATCTTAATCATGAGTTCTTAGCAAACTACTATTTATGGATTTGTGTCTTTTGATTTACTCGGTACGGATTCTGAGATCTCGATTCATATTCCTTGTATTTTAGAGACATGATGAAGTAGGTAGCCGGGAATGTTATTATACAAGATGGAATCCATTCCTTATTGAGAAAGAAGTAGATAAATAATTCTCTTGAGTGTTGATTCGGTACTTGGACTAGTAGGAGCTTTGATTCATGAATGTGTTTTATGAATCATTGTTCATTAGAGAATCAATGGTACTCAAGGATAAAGATGTAATTAGAGAGGTTAACAAATTTCACCTAGCTCTAATTGTGAATTATTTATGGAGGATTGATCTATATGCAGTGACTACATCACATGGACACTTCACGGTTTAGAACTAATTTATATCTATAATTACAAGAGTGCAATTCCAAGTTTATAGTGGAGTAACTATAGGAATTAATAAGATTAATTAATTAATTAAAGTGTTTAATTAATTATTAATTTTATTAGAGCTCAAAATTATAGGTCCATGAGTCCCCATGTCATTTTTATAATTCTACAAGACACTTAAGGGTAAAATGGGAATTTTAGAATTATGGAATTCTACAATTAAACACTCAAGGATAATTAATTGAGAATTAATTATTATTTAAATAATGTGATTATTTAAATTTAAATTTGAATTTTAGATCACTTATGTGAAGGTGTTCACATTGTGTGAACGCAAGGCACAGTGTGAACACCGAGTGTGAATACATAGTGTAAACACATCTAGAATTATCAATTTAAACTTATTTGATAAGTTGTTCAATTTAAAATTTAAATTAATTTAACTTTGACTTAAATTGGATGTTGAATTTGAGTCAAAATTAGACTGCAAGATAAAAGATGATTTTCTTTTCTTTCCTTATCTGCTTTTGGCGCCTACCATAGGAATAAGGATCCCTATCTTGGCCGGCCATACACAGGATAAGGGAGGAAAAAATTTTGTTCCAAATTCAAATAGGAGATAATTACCAGACTTTATCTTGAAGATAAAGATTGGATTCCTTCTAGAAGTTTGACTTCTACTCTATAAATATAAAGATAGTAGAAAATTATGAGACACAATTGTTTACACAATTTTTGCTCCTATTTTTAGAGGGTGGCCGAATTTTTCACAAGTGCGTGAGGAAAAATTTTCTCCAAAAAAAATTCAATGTCATGCATGCGTTGGTGTTCGTGGAAATTCTTGAGTGTTTTTGTTAACCCATTTTGTTTCAGGTGTGCTCACACAAACGTCTTCGTAGATTCAAGGAATTGACGAGGAAGGCTCGGGTTTTCTAAACAAAGCATTGAGCCAGGATTGTTCGAGGTCAAAGAACTCAAGTTATTATCCTAATTGATTGCTAGGTACAATTCCTAATCCGGTTCTTGATAAATTAATTAATGAGATTAATTTATTCGTGCATAAATTAATTTATTCGTATCTCAAAGGTTTTATAAAAATTTTTGTTATACACGATCCGCTAACCTAACGCTTCTGCATCCGAATTTGATTCGGAAACCAACATATTACACAGGAAAATACTATCTTGTTGATGCGGCGTATAAGAACAATGATTGTTTTCTCGCTCCGTACCGAGGTGGGACATATCATTTGCTTGATTACAGAAAGAGAAGTGGTGGATTTCAGGGACCTAGAGATATTTTTAACTACAAACACTCATTCTTGAGAAATTGTATTTGGCGAACATTCGGCGTTTGGAAGGTTAGGTTCCCTATCCGAAGGCGCCCCAATAATACTTATCCAATGAAAAAATAAGTGTAGATCCTTGGGGCATGTGCAATCTTACATAATTTCATCCACATGGTTAATGAAGGGGGTCTGCTTCTAAATCAATACTACCGTGATGGTGTACCGGTAAGTGAAATAGATCCAAACAATACAGATGAATTTGATGATGATGACTATGATGGCAATGTCCCTGAGGGCCAGTTGTAACAGGAGCTAGTGTTAGTCGTACAGAAATGGTCGATTCAAGGATCGCCTTGCAAATGAAATGTCGATTTAGGAATATTACTTTGTAAATGAAATGTGGGTGGAATACTTGAAAAACCGTGGGAGACAAATTTAAAAGTGCATACAAGCATTGGGATCCTATCTCTATTACTTCTATAAAATTATGTCTCTATCAACTTCCTATTTTTGTCTCTATAAACTTCAGAAAAATTTTTGGCGTTGTTTAGTAGTCTTCTATCATCTTATGTATGACCATATATGTTGGACATCTTCTCTTTTCTGAATGTGGAAACATTTTTCTTACTTTGTTCATGTATTTGCTGCCGTTATTTGATGCTGGG